TTTTTCTGTACTGGAAGGAAGGAAAAAAAATGCATCTTTATGTAGCCTTTCAAATGACATGATATAAAGATTTAAAAAATGATTTGGCAGTATGTAGAATTAAATAAGAGTGTATATTCTATATTGCACTCCAAAAACAATAGGTAAACCAGTGCTCATATTCCAACATAGGGTATTTAGCTTTATTTACTGATCAGTATTCATATGATCTTTTGCAATCATCCACTTTCGGAAGTGCATTGATCTCTCATTGGCTGAGCTACACTATATACCTTCTTATAAGGAAGTACATTTGTGAAAAAGTAAGGTATGGCTAAGTGGGTGGAGTTTTGCTGCAGAAAGTTATTAAACATTTTTCTTTTATTAAAGGAACACTATAGGGTCAGGAACACAAACATGTATTCCTGACCCTATAGTGCAAAACCCACCATTTAGGTGGTTTACTCCCTTAAAAGCATGAAAAACTCTCCTTATTTCCAGCGCCATGCGGGTCTGCCGGCACTTGCCCCGTCCCCTTGGTGACATCATCAGAATTGCCGATCTTTAGCAAATCCAACGCTTTCCAAAAAAATCCCAAGGGAATAATTAGTCTCAATCCAACGCATGTCGTACTCAGGACGTCTTGAAGGATATCTGACTGCTCTTGTGTGTTCTCCCAATATATATGATAGTGTTGATTGAAGAATTCTGTTCATCTGGGGAAAGCATTGGATTGTCTAAAATCAGCAAGGGGGCGGGCCCAAATGCCGTTTTGACCAATCAGCACCTCCTCAAAGAGATGCATTGAATCAATGCATCTCTAGGAGGAAAATTCAGCGTCCCCATGCAGAGCATGGAAGCCATTCGAGGAGGCCATCTTCAGGAAGCCCTTCACGTGGCCATCTAAGGAGTGGCCAGTTGGACGTGTCCCCAAGGGCAATGTAAACACTGCATTTTCTCTGAAAAGACAGTGTTTGTAGTAAAATGCCTGAAGGCAATGATTATACTCAGAAAAACTACATTAAGCTTTAGTTGTTCCAGTGACTATAGTGTCCCTTTAAGCAAAACTAAAAGATTTGAACAGGGAGGGAAATGCAGCATCAGTAAGAGGTCAAAACTTATCAAATGCACAGATGTGATTATGTCCTGAGTGTTTCCCTTAAAGATTAATTCACTTTGTCAAACACTCGATTAAAAAAAAAGATCAGTTTACTAATGCAAACAAATCTCCTGGAAATCACACCAGAAAATGATAACATTTATTGATTTACAGATAATAAACAAGAAATACAAAATTACAGATATACAACTCAAAGGGAGCAATTTATTTATTTATTTTTTTGATAATTCTTTTTTTTTTATTATTCTTTGTAAGTGTATAGATTATTACAAGTTTCAATACTGCCAGAGAATGTTACAGTAGTCGACAATTGGTGACATTTTGGTGTCAGCTTCAAGATATGTTGAACTTTTTTTTTTGTTTCATAAGAAATTCAAGAGTAAGCATAGACAGGCATAACAGAATAAAATAACAATCAGGTTTTGCTTGAGATCATATTTTTATAGTTAGTTATATATTGCGCAATTTTAAATGCGGTGTTACTCTTGGGTTAACTTTAAGGTAACAGTAAACATAAGATACAAACCAGTAAACATAGGGTAAACAAAAAACAAAAAAGGTGTAGTGCTACATACAGATACAGAGTCGTCCAAAGTGTGAATATCTGTCACTCCAAAAAATAGAGACCACAATTGTGAAATAGTGTCCTGTCAGGGTATTTATATCGGCAGACATTTTGTGCTATGATAGAAACTAAAAGTGTATATTCTGAGTCACTCTGAACAGACCAGACTCCATTTTGTTATTTCAAGTTAACAAAGAAGACACTAGATTTCTTTCTGTAAGACTGGCCTCTTTGCCAGAGCTAAGGAATGTATAGCATAGTATAAACAAGTGATAAGAAGAATATAATCAAATCTAAACCCAGACAATTGTGACAGAGAAGATTAAATAATTTAATATTTAACTGTCTATACATATAAGGTACCATTGTATGGAAAAGGGTAAACTTAGTTCATGATCTGTCATATCAGAAATTATAGCAGATTTGCAGACACATAGTCTGGACAAAATTTAAGAACCCCTTTGATCTTTGAAGGATACGTAAGTTATAGCCACTATCTAGATAGGCCAAAATGACGTCAAAATAGCCACCAGGAAAAGTTAACTCTTTCCTGGATAGGTATGTTTAGTGGGACAAGACTGCCCTCTACAGACCAAATAACTAATTTGCGATCTGGAAGATAACCACACCTCTAGTGCTTCTATTGGGTTATCAACTGATGACGTACAGAGAGTCTGGCCCTTTAAAAGTTAAGACAAAGGGAAGAGAGAGAGATACGAGAGAGGAGGCAGATGCAAGAGATGCAAAGGAGAGGAGAGAGGAATTGGAAGTTTGGGAACTCCAACTCGGACAACATCTGAGACTAACACTCTACTCCTAAAACTCTAACACTTAGAATTTACTGACTTTCTAACCAACACCTCCATGCAGAGAGACTACCAATCGGATGAAATATCTACTCAACTGGTAATTATACTGGTTTCATTTAATTAAATTAAATTAATTAAAATGTATTAATAGCATTATATATGACTGGATAAAGCACGGTCAGATTTCCATATTAAGAAATCTTAGTTAACTAAGAATATATAGTTATAACCATTCCATTCTGCAGGTGGAATTAAGAATAATTGTATATGGATGTGATATTATCACGTGTTAGCATACCGCTGTTGTTATCCAGGTGTATTGATTTGCTCTAAATTAAGATAGATATCTTTTAGACAAATTAAAAATCTGCTTATATAATGTAGTAAATTCTCTTATTGGATGATTTTAAGAAAATGACTAGTGAACTGGTTTAAATGTTATTTTATTTAAAAATTACATAAGAATAGATCTTAACTACCTAGGAGATCTAGCCAGCATTGAAAGGGTTATTCTAACTGTCTGCTAAATTTTACGACCTTACGCTGCACTCTGAGGAATTCTGTTCTTCCCTGTGAAAAGTTTCACTTTCAGTCTGTGAAAGCTAGTCATAAATCGTAGAAGTCTTGACAGAAAATGCCGTTTAGCCATTGAAACGTAATACCCATTTCTTTGTATTGCATATAATTTTGTACTGAATATTCATTGATTATTGTTATGCATGTTACATATATATTATTATTATTAATTTGTCATATAAATAAAAATCTATTTTTATACATTGTGATTATTTATATGAAATACTTTCCACTTAACACGATAAACGTTCTTTGGGATCTGAGAATTGAATTAGTGGGCAATTCTCAACTGTTACTATTATTATCCCATAAATATCCCCACATATTGGAGGCACGGTGCTGAGATCGTTTAAGTTGAAATTATATTTCATATATAATAATATTGGTGTAATTCATGCAATTTAATCTTGATATAGAAAAGAGTTTTGTATTGAGATTAAATCACTGTATAGAAATATGGCTGAATCTAGCGCTTCATCTCAATCAGAGAATGGGAAGAAGTTAGCGGAAATGCAAGGTTTTCCCTTAAGCATCATATATCAGTATCTAAATATTAAAGTTGATTATCCAGAGTGGATACTCCAAATAAAAAAACAGGTTGATGATTCAATTCATGATAGATCGGCTGATTCACCTATGGTTAAATATCTTAGCCTTATAGATGAAGAGTCTACAATGCGATCTGTTACCAAATCATGCCCGTTTTTTATATTGGGTTATTCTATTATGTTAAAAAAGCATAATGAGATAGAACGTAAATTGGACGAGTGTCAGAAACACCTGGTGCTTGAACAAAGCAGGTTCAACACTTTGTCTGATGAAAATAATCTCCTTCGGACTCTAAACTCTGACCTTTTTAATAAACTGGAAAGAATGAGCAAAATGGTGGATGATTATGATCAACAGATAAAACAGATACAGATGCAGCTAGATGAATATCAAAAGGGAAGTGAAGGATTACTGGGAAAAGACCCAAGTGATTCTTCTCAATTCCCTGATATTCACACACCAGACCAGGTTTTCATAAAACAGTCTGTAAGTAAAGATGTGAGTAATTCTGAGAAAACACCTGTAGATTCTTGGCAATCTTGGGCAGAACAGTTTGAAAAGACTGTCCTGGCCAAGCTTGACAGAAAGAATCAGATTCAAGGTGATAGGAATGAAAACAGACATGGTTCTGTACACTGGCAGAATTCTGATGCAGATCAGAGTTGTGACAGTGAACAAGAAGCTCAGAGTGATGGGAGTGAAAGTGATTGCACTATCCACTCTGAAGGCCATGTAACTGATATGCCATCTGCACTGTTGTACGGGTCTAATTCCTCTTCAGCAGACAGATCGCATAGACGTTTACTCAAACACAGAAACAGAGGTCTAAATCAACGACGCCTGTTTATGAAACGCCAAAGGTCATCAAATTCCTTAGAGAGACTGTCCCACAATTTTCTAGAGGTTCAGGAAACATATCTGAACATCTGGAAAATTATGATAGAGCAATGAATTCATTGGGCATGTATGATGACATTCATAAGAAATGGTTCATTACATGGACCTTTGATTCAATGTGTCGTGTTTATCTAGAAAGTCTTCAAGCTATACAGTTAATGTCCTGGTCCAAGATGAAATATGAAATAATCATGGAATATGGTAAGTATAAAACCATTGCCTCTGCAAAGAAGGCGCTTTATAACTTAAAGTGCCGTCCAGATCAAAGCCCCAGAGAATTTTTAATAATTCTTAAAAATGCATACTCCGTGGCCCAAAGAAAACCCAGGTATGAAAGCACAGACTTCAAAGATCTGTATTTTCATGCCATGCCAGTAAACATACAAATGAATCTCGCAAGAGATTACGATTGTAAGTTACCATTAGAATGGCTAATCAGTCAATGCATGAAGTTGTACACTATACACCATGCACATGATGAAAATCAGCCAAAGGTTAAGAAACCTGGTGATAAAATGGTGTCAGAGACTAAAATTCAGCTAGGTTTAGAAACCCAACAGAAAAAGAGGACCTATTCCGAGGTTTTGAAAACTCCAAAACCTCAGAAACAGGAAAATGCAAGAAGCAATTCTGCAAATTCCTCTAATAACTCTGAAAAATCCAATGCCAATGGGAATAAACGCCCCTGGGTTAATAAAAACCAAGGCAATTCCCAATGGAGAAGGAATCCTCAGGGAAATAGGAGATATGGAAACAGAAATAACCAATCTGCTTCCAATAACTCCCAACAGTCTCAGCCATCCCAGCCAAATTCTAATGGGCAAAGACAAAACGGCAATGGGGGAAATAATTTGCGTCGTCAGGTTGGTCAATTGACAGACCAGATGGGCAAATTAATGGAGGAAATGACAAAGATCAACCAAGTCTTTGCTCTCAATCCTTTTTTAGGGATAGCTCCAATTGCAGAACTACCTGTGCAACCGCAGCAACAACAACAGGTGCCGCAGCAATAATAGCCACTGTGACTAAGCAGGCTAGGTTATCAGTAGATGTAATACCTAACCCTGTTTCCTTTCCAGGTACTCATAGTCAAACAAACAATAGTTGTGTTAGGAAACCTATTGCCTATCCCGTCACTTCACTTTCGGGTGAAGGAGGCGCAACGTGTTCCTCTGTTTTTTCATTTCAGCCAAAGGCTAAAGAAGCCCCAGCAACCACTGGTTTCCAGGATCCAGACCTGAAAGGGTTAACTGATAGGATGCCGACCACTAGTTCCCGCTTGACAGTTCAAGATGTTCCTAAAAAGGATGGGCCTGTGGGTAAGACTGAGCATTCCTCAGTACAGATAGAAACTACTGCTGTGACCGGTAATGTATGGAAAACAAGTAATATGTTGACACATTCTAAATTCTTATGTGAATTAGAAGAACATGAAGGAAGGTATTACATGTCTGTAGAAATACAGGATTCGCTACCCCAGCCTTTTAAAGGGTTAATAGATACTGGTTCACAAGCCACTATCTTATCAAATACCTACTTCCAGCAGGTAATGGACTTAGCAACGGATAAGCCGAAGCTAAGAGATTTCCCCAATGCTCTGTTCAGTGTAGGAGGAAATGCCCTTCATGTTATTGGCAATACATGGTTAAAGTTTAAAATAGGTAACAAAACCTTTAGACACCCGGTGATAGTGGTAGATCTCTCCTATGACCGACTGATTCTGGGTATAGACATACTTAGAAGACTTAACACAATTATTGACTGTGTAAATGGAATTGTATGGTCACAAGCTAAGGTTCCCATAACCTATGAGAAATCACATGTTCAATCTGATCGTAACTGCCATGTGATAGAAGAAAGACCTGACTCAATAGAGGTACATTTTAGAAATAGTCAGTCACCTGACGTGACTATCCTGCAGGTGAATGATGCAATCGCGCCTGTAGATGAGCATTCCATAAGAATTGCTCCAGAGAGGATCCAGAATGTCTCTCTGGAAGGTGATGTTTTAACCATTTCTCTCCACAGGGACTATGTTGAATCTGTAGATCTGGCAGGTCATGCTCAATTCCTTGCCAGAATTGAAAGGGTTAATAACA